TCTCTTTTCCAGCACTTTAGACGCAGTTGCTCCGTTGCGCTTAAAGAAGATTAAAGAAAATAGTCCAACGCCGTGGTACAACGAGCACACTCTCACACACACACACACACACACACACACACACACCCAGGCCCTAAAGAGAGCAGCCAGAAAAATGGAGCGCAACTGGAAGAAAACTAAACTAGAGGTATTTCGGATTTCGTGGAAAGAGAGCTCAATTGCTTACAGAGAGGCTTTAAAAGCTGCTAGATCTGCTTATTTTTCAACCCTATTAGAAGAAAATAAACATAATCCTAGGTATTTATTTGAAACAGTGGCTAAACTAACGAAAAAGAAAGCTTCAAGCTCAGAAGTGTCCAAGCAACACAGCAGTGATGACTTTATGAACTTCTTCACTTATAAGATTGATAATATCAGGGACAAAATTATAACTATGCAACCGTCTACTACAGTATCGCATCAGGAAGTGCATTGTAGTCTCCCTGAGGAAACATTTGATTTATTTGTTGCTATAGGAGAGGAAGAATTCTGCAAACTCGTTAATTCATCTAAATCGACAACTTGTATGTTAGATCCTATACCGACTAAGCTACTGAAAGAGATGTTTCCAGAGGTCATATATCCTCTTCTTAATATCATTAATTCATCTTTGTCTCTAGGATACGTACCAAAAACCTTTAAACTGGCTATGATAAAACCGCTTGTTAAAAAACCGCAACTTGATCCTACAGAATTAGTCAATTACAGGCCGATCTCGAATCTGCCTTTTCTGTCAAAGATATTAGAAAAAGCAGTATCTTCACAACTATGTTCCTTTCTAGAAAGAAATGATATCTGCGAGGATTTTCAGTCAGGATTTAGACCGTACCATAGTACTGAGACCGCTCTCATTAGAGTCACAAATGATTTGCTCTTATCATCCGATCGTGGTTGTATCTCTCTATTAGTGTTACTCGATCTTAGTGCTGCATTTGACACCATTGACCACAACATTCTTTTAAATAGACTAGAAAACTATGTTGGCATTAGTGGAATTGCATTAGCATGGTTTAAATCATACTTAACTGACCGTTATCAGTTTGTAGCAGTAAATGAAGAGATGTCTTATCGATCACAAGTTCAGTATGGCGTACCACAAGGCTCAGTACTAGGACCGCTGCTGTTCACTCTGTACATGCTACCATTAGGAGATATCATTAGTAGGGATGTAACGATTCACTCATCTCACGATGCGATACGATTCACGATACTGGTTTCACGATACGATTTTCTCACGATTTTTTTAACAAATGCGATTTAAGACAAAAGTGTCCCTTTTATTATTTCTCAGACAAAATGCTGCACATTTCTTTTTAATTTAAAATATATTTCTCAAATAATAAAACTACATTAAAAAAATTCCCTTCAAGGTTGTTTCAACTCAGTCTTTCTGTCTGTTTGGTCAAGAGGCTGGACACTGGTACCTTCGCACACTATGTAAAAGACTGTGTAAAATTAGTAGTACCAGATTGACAGGGGTTTTACATTGTAATAAAGGCAAGATTCTAATTTTGTTATAATTTGTATCATTACACTAGTAAGAGTAAAAAAAAAACACATTTAGAGAAAGAGATAGTAAAATAAATACAACACCTGGTTGCCACGGAAACACTGATGCACCTTGTGATCTCCGTGGCTCTCGCAATTGTAGTATTAATGACTTTTACATGAAAACGGAGGTGACTGGTGTTACTCACGGTGGTGATTATTATTAGTCTACGGAAAGTCAAAATGCCGCCACACCTCCGATTTGAATGAGTCAACGTCAACATCTACGCTTGCCGTCGCCAAAGCCATGTCTACTGTTTGACGGCACGTGCACACCAGTCTATGGCACACACTGGTGCGGCGCGAGCGGAGCAAACCGAGCGTTTTCAGTTCATTCCTATGGAAGTTGAGCTTGGCTCACACAAGATCAAGTTCCATGAATGAAGTGAAAACACTCGCTAGCTTCACGCCAGTGTGTGCTCGCTGCTATTGTGCTATTGTAAAGCGAGGTTCACAACTTCACAGTAGGCTATAGTAAACGCGCCCTGCTGTTTAAAACGTGTATCGCGATTCGTTTAACATTTCAACCGACTTGAATCGTCACACATTTTTATCGATTTTCAACCGGTTGCGAGTGAATCGTTACATCCCTAATCATTAGGGAACATGGAGTTAGTTTTCACTGTTATGCCGATGATACTCAGCTGTATATTTCTTCACGCCCCGACGAAACTTACCAATTCACAAAATTAACGGAATGCATAGCTGATATAAAAAATTGGATGACTAGTAATTTCCTACTACTAAATTCTGAAAAGACAGAGATTCTAATTATTGGACAAAAAACTTCCACACGTAATAACCTAGAATACTGTCTAACACTTAATGGCTGCTCTGTCAAGTCTTCGTCGTCGGTTAGGAACCTGGGTGTGCTATTTGATACCAACCTTTCTTTTGAAAGCCACGTGTCTAGTATCTGTAAAACTGCATTTTTCCATCTTAAAAATATATCTAAATTACGCCATATGCTCTCATTGGGAAATGCGGAACAATTAGTCCATGCGTTCATGACCTCAAGGCTAGATTATTGTAATGCTCTACTGGGTGGTTGCCCTGCACGCTTAACAAACAAACTACAGCTAGTTCAAAACGCCGCAGCTCGAGTTCTTACCAGAACCAGGAAATATGACCATATTAGCCCGGTTCTGTCAACACTGCATTGGCTGCCTATTAAACATCGTATAAATTTTAAAATATTGTTGATTACCTACAAAGCACTAAATGGTTTAGCTCCCAGTGCTTGAGCGAGCTCTTAACGCATTATAGTCCTTCACGTCTATTGCGATCTCAAAATTCCGGCCAGTTGATAATACCTAGAATATCTAAATCGACTGCTGGCGGGAGATCCTTTTCCTATTTAGCACCAAAACTTTGGAACAGTCTTCCTACCATTGTCCGGGAAGCAGACACACTCTGTCAGTTCAAAGCTAGACTAAAAACACATCTCTTTGACCTAGCATACACATAATACATTATCGACTTCTATAACTCAATGTTAGGCTGCATAGATTAGGTCAGCCGGAACTGGGAACACTTCCCTTAAATCTTGATGTAGTCGCTACATCATAAGAAGAATGGCATCTACGCTAACTTTAGTGTCTTTGTTTATCCCGAGGTTTTCCCGCAGCCTGCCGGATCCAGGCCGTTTCCAGATCTGACGAAGGAGATTCGCCTGGACCCGATGACAATCCAGTGCTGAAGTATCCACTATCCTCTCCCTATGGAGGATCCCTTTCCCACTCTACAGATAAAGCGTTGTGAATTCCGGCTCGCGTACCCCGAAGTGATAAAATAAAACAAATTCTGTATCAAATTTATAGGCAAGAAAAGTAGTTTGTTTAGGCTGGGTTGTATGAATTACAAACCTGCGCACATATTTTAAAAAGCACATAACTATAGAATTCTGAATGAGCATGTGAACGCCGTCAGCGTTAATCACAGGTTCGCGTTTAAAGTCTGATCATTTCGACGGAGGTGAATCAATCAAAGTTAACTTTAGCTGGAAGTAACATTATTCAAGAACCGCTATAACGCCAAAACAATCTGTTACCTTAAATTATATGTTTATCTCTGTAAAGCTGCTTTGAAACAATTCATTGTTAAAAGCGCTATATAAATGAAGATGACTTGACTTGACTTGACTTGACTCACTCACACACTCACACACTCACACTCACACTCACACTCACACTCACTCACTTACTCACTCACTCACTCACTCACTCACTCACTCACTCACTCACTCCCACTCACACACTCACTCACACACTCACTCCCACTCACACACTCACTCACTCACTCACTCACTTACACTCACACTCACACTCACTCACTCACTCACTCACACACTCACTCCCACTCACACACTCACTCACTCACTCTCACTCACTCACTAACACTCACTCACTCACTCACTCTCACTCACTCACTAACACTCACTCACTCACTCACTCACTCACTCTCACTCTCACTCACTCACTCACTCACTCCCACTCACACACTCACTCACTCACTCTCACTCACTCACTAACACTCACTCACTCACTCACTCACTCACTCTCACTCTCACTCACTCACACACTCACTCCCACTCACACACTCACTCACTCACTCTCACTCACTCACTAACACTCACTCACTCACTCACTCACTCACTCTCACTCTCACTCACTCACTCACTCACTCACTCACTCACTCACTCACTCACTCACTCACTAACACTCACTCACTCACTCACTAACACTCACTCTCACTCTCACTCACTCACTCACTCTCACTCTCACTCACTCACACACTCACTCCCACTCACACACTCACTCACTCACTCTCACTCACTCACTAACACTCACTCACTCACTCACTCACTCACTCTCACTCTCACTCACTCACTCACTCACTCACTCACTCACTCACTCACTCACTCACTAACACTCACTCACTCACTCACTAACACTCACTCTCACTCTCACTCACTCACTCACTCACTCACTCTCACTCACTCACTAACTCACTAACTCACTCACTCACTCACACACAGCAGACTTAACACACGAGCCTACAGAACACACACACACACACGCAGCAGACTTAACACATGAGCCTACCTACAGAACACACACACACACACTCACATTCACACACACATTCACGAGCCTACAGAACACACACTCTCACACACACACACACACACACACACACACACAGCAGACTTAACACATGAGCCTACAGAACACACACACACACAGCAGACTTAACACACGAGCCTACAGAACACACACACACACACGCAGCAGACTTAACACATGAGCCTACCTACAGAACACACACACACACACTCACATTCACACACACATTCACGAGCCTACAGAACACACACTCTCACACACACACACACACACACACACACACAGTACCTTAGTGATGGGAGCTTCAATAGTCATGGAGTGAATTCTGGCCATAGACGAGTGTCTCCTCTGGGAACTTCCTGCTAAAGACAAGAAGATCTGAAAAACTGTATGATGCACTGACATGCGCAGGGGTCAGAGGTCAAGGGTTAGTCATGGTTCTCGTATTAACAGACACTTTTACAACTGTCGGTCTCCTCTTATAAAACACTTGTTATAGCTGACCCTAAATAAGCTCAATCTAAAATCTGTGTCATGCAAACATGTTGAAGACGAGCGTCTGGTGTGACGAGCCGTTTCCACCGGAGGGGCTCTGAGTTAGGGGAGGGGCTCTGAGTTAAGGGAGGGGCTCTGAGTTAGGGGAGGGGCTCTGAGTTAAGGGAGGGGCTCTGGGTTAGGGGAGGGGCTCTGAGTTAAGGGAGGGGCTCTGAGTTAGGGGAGGGGCTCTGAGTTAAGGGAGGGGCTCTGAGTTAGGGGAGGGGCACTGAGTTAGGGGAGGGGCTCTGGGTTAGGGGAGGGGCTCTGAGTTAGGGGAGGGGCTCTGAGTTAAGGGAGGGGCTCTGGGTTAGGGGAGGGGCTCTGAGTTAAGGGAGGGGCTCTGAGTTAGGGGAGGGGCTCTGAGTTAAGGGAGGGGCTCTGAGTTAGGGGAGGGGCACTGAGTTAGGGGAGGGGCTCTGGGTTAGGGGAGGGGCTCTGAGTTAGGGGAGGCGCTCTGGATTAGGGGAGGGGCTCTGAGTTAAGGGAGGGGCTTTGAGTTAGGGGACGGGCACTGAGTTAGGGGAGGGGCTCTGGGTTAGGGGAGGGGCTCTGAGTTAGGGGAGGGGCTCTGAGTTAAGGGAGGGGCTCTGAGTTAGGGGAGGGGCTCTGAGTTAAGGGAGGGGCTCTGGATTAGGGGAGGGGCTCTGAGTTAGGGGAGGGGCACTGAGTTAGGGGAGGGGCTCTGAGTTAGGGGAGGGGCACTGAGTTAGGGGAGGGGCACTGAGTTAAGGGAGGGGCTCTGAGTTAGGGGAGGGGCACTAAGTTAGGGGAGGCGCTCTGGGTTAGGGGAGGGGCTCTGAGTTAGGGGAGGGGCTCTTGAGTTAAGGGAGGGGCTCTGGATTAGGGGAGGGGCTTTGAGTTAGGGGAGGGGCACTGAGTTAGGGGAGGGGCTCTGGATTAGGGGAGGGGCTTTGAGTTAGGGGAGGGGCACTGAGTTAGGGGAGGGGCTCTGGATTTGGGGAGGGGCTTTGAGTTAGGGGAGGGGCACTGAGTTAGGGGAGGGGCTCTGGATTAGGGGAGGGGCTTTGAGTTAGGGGAGGGGCACTGAGTTAGGGGAGGGGCTCTGGATTAGGGGATGGGCTTTGAGTTAGGGGAGGGGCTCTGAGTTAGGGGTGTGTCGTCTTACCATCACTTCCTCTAGAGGTCGTCGAGCGAACGTCCAGGGATCCTTTCCTGCGGTCCTTGTGTTTGCTGAACTGCTGAATATCTGACACACAATGACAACAGCAACAAGACATCAGTACATCTCAACACTCACTCACACACACAAGAGTGTAACGGGTGTAAAGAGTGTAACGAGTGTAAATAATGTAACAAGTGTAACGAGTGTAAAGAGTGTGAATAGTGTAACGGGTGTAAAGAGTGTAACGGGTGTAAAGAGTGTAACGGGTGTAAAGAGTGTAAATAATGTAACAAGTGTAAAGAGTGTGAAGAGTGTAACGAGTGTAAAGAGTGTTACGGGTGTAAAGAGTGTAAATAATGTAACAAGTGTAAAGAGTGTGAAGAGTGTAACGGGTGTAAAGAGTGTAACGGGTGTAAAGAGTGTAAATAATGTAACAAGTGTAAAGAGTGTGAAGAGTGTAACGGGTGTAAAGAGTGTAACGGGTGTAAATAATGTAACAAGTGTAAGGAGTGTAAAGAGTGTAACGGGTGTAAAGAGTGTGAAGAGTGTAAAGAGTGTAACGGGTGTAAAGAGTGTAAATAGTGTAACGAGTGTAAAGAGTGTTTCGGGTGTAAAGAGTGTAAATAGTGTAACGAGTGTAAAGAGCGTAAAGAGTGTGAAGAGTGTAACAAGTGTAAAGAGTGTGAAGAGTGTAACGAGTGTAAAGAGTGTAACGGGTGTAAAGAGTGTAACGGGTGTAAATAATGTAACGAGTGTAAGGAGTGTAAATAGTGTAACGAGTGTAAAGAGTGTAACGGGTGTAAAGAGTGTAAATAGTGTAACGAGTGTAAAGAGCGTAAAGAGTGTGAAGAGTGTAACGGGTGTAAAGAGTGTGAAGAGTGTAACGAGTGTAAAGAGTGTGAAGAGTGTAAAGAGTGTAACGGGTGTAAAGAGTGTGAATATGTAACGAGTGTAAAGAGTGTAACGGGTGTAAATAATGTAACGAGTGTAAGGAGTGTAAATAGTGTAAAGAGTGTAACGAGTGTAAGGAGTGTAAAGAGTGTGAAGAGTGTAACGGGTGTAACGGGTGTAAAGAGTGTGAATATGTAACGAGTGTAAAGAGTGTAACGAGTGTAAATAATGTAACGAGTGTAAGGAGTGTAAATAGTGTAACGAGTGTAAAGAGCGTAAAGAGTGTTAAGAGTGTAACGGGTGTAAAGAGTGTGAAGAGTGTAACGAGTGTAAAGAGTGTGAAGAGTGTAAAGAGTGTAACGGGTGTAAAGAGTGTGAATATGTAACGAGTGTAAAGAGTGTAACGAGTGTAAATAATGTAACGAGTGTAAGGAGTGTAAATAGTGTAACGAGTGTAAAGAGTGTAAAGAGAGTAACGAGTGTAAAGAGTGTAAAGAGTGTGAAGAGTGTAACGGGTGTAAAGAGTGTAAAGAGCTTAACAAGTGTAAAGAGTGTAACAAGTGTAAAGAGTGTAACGAGTGTAAAGAGTGTAACGAGCGTAAAGAGTGTAACGAGCATAACGAGAGTGTAACGAGTGTGAAGAGTGTAACGGGTGTAAAGAGTGTAAAGAGCTTAACAAGTGTAAAGAGTGTAACAAGTGTAAAGAGTGTAACGAGTGTAAAGAGTGTAACGAGTGTAAAGAGTGTAACGAGTGTAAAGAGTGTAACGAGCATAACGAGAGTGTAACGAGTGTGAAGAGTGTAACGGGTGTAAAGAGTGTAAAGAGCTTAACAAGTGTAAAGAGTGTAACAAGTGTAAAGAGTGTAACGAGTGTAAAGAGTGTAACGAGTGTAAAGAGTGTGACGAGTGTGAAGAGTGTAACGAGCATAACGAGAGTGTAACGAGAGTGTAACGAGTGTAACGAGCATAACGAGAGTGTGACGAGTGTGAAGAGTGTAACGGGTGTAAAGAGTGTAAAGAGCTTAACAAGTGTAAAGAGTGTAACAAGTGTAAAGAGTGTAACGAGTGTAAAGAGTGTAACGAGTGTAAAGAGTGTAACGAGTGTAAAGAGTGTAACGAGCATAACGAGAGTGTAACGAGAGTGTAACGAGTGTAACGAGCATAACGAGAGTGTGACGAGTGTGAAGAGTGTAACGGGTGTAAAGTAGTGTTGTCACGATACTAGAATTTCTAACTTCGATACGATACCTTGAAAAATATCGATATTCGATACCATTTTCGATACCACGGAGAAAAAGCTGCCACAATATTATGGGGTATTTTTTTTATTTAAAGCTAAATATTACAAGTCTAGAACATGACAATGAGGTATATTTTACACGAACAAAAATGTCCTGAGTTCTATTTGTTTATTTTTTTAATTGGACCAGAGCTAACATGATGTATTTTTATTACCTACTGTTATCAAAGATTAAAATATACTGTAACAAAAAAGCACTTAACAGTATCAAATTGGAGGATAGAGTGTCAGTAATGTATAATAATAAGATTAAACATTCAATTTTCAGTTAAAGGCATGTCATTATTGAATTCAGAGATAGCTGTTTAGTTTAATTAATATCTGTGTAATCAAATTGATGATAATCGCTAATGAAGGAAAATTGCAGAATTAAATAATAATTTTTGAATAAAGTTAAATAGGCACCAGTTAATTTACATTTGACCACAGTTACAATATTTACTTGTCTAAGATTCCTCAGTCAGATTATGTTAACTTTAAGAATTAAAACGAGACAACACAGACTCTTATCAACAACAATACTAGGCCATCTTGGTTAATGTTTCAGAAAAGTTCAAATGAGAAGAGTTACAGTGTTTCCTTGAGGATTTTTTTTTAGCAGTGGGGGCAGATCTGTCCAAACAACAAACACCCCTGATGCTGAGCATATGCTGCTAAATAGTAGCCTACCCCTGGAGCCTGTTCCTTAAGTCTGTTTTCACCTATACAATAATTTAAAAAAATGAGTGATGTGAGGGATTATTGATAGTCAAACAATCTGTTGGGTGCCCGCAGCCCGCGCTATTCTCCGACATGCCCGCTCGCGTGTCCGCGCTATTCTCCGACATGCCCGCTCGCGGTGTGTAGCGCGTGTCCACGCTATTCTCCGACTTCGACATGGCCGCTCGCGGTGTGTTTTTTACGCGTGTCCGCGCTATTCTCCGACTCCGACATGCCCGCTCGCGGTGTGTAGTTCGTGTCCACGCTATTCTCCGACTCCGACATGCCCGCTCGCGGTGTGTAGCTCGTGTCCGCGCTATTCTCCGACTCCGACATGCCCGCTCGCGGTGTGTAGTTCGTGTCCACGCTATTCTCCGACTCCGACATGCCCGCTCGCGGTGTGTAGCTCGTGTCCACGCTATTCTCCCACTCCGACATGCCCGCTCGCGGTGTGTTTTTTACGCGTGTCCGCGCTATTCTCCGACTCCGACATGCCCGCTCGCGGTGTGTTTTTTACGCGTGTCCGCGCTATTCTCCGACTCCGACATGCCCGCTCGCGGTGTGTTTTTTACGCGTGTCCGCGCTATTCTCCGACTCCGACATGCCCGCTCGCGGTGTGTTTTTTACGCGTGTCCACGCTATTCTCCGACTTCGACATGCCCGCTCGCGGTGTGTTTTTTACGCGTGTCCGCGCTATTCTCCGACTCCGACATGCCCGCTCGCGGTGTGTTTTTTACGCGTGTCCGCGCTATTCTCCGACTTCGACATGCCCGCTCGCGGTGTGTTTTTTACGCGTGTCCGCGCTATTCTCCGACTCCGACATGCCCGCTCGCGGTGTGTTTTTTACGCGTGTCCGCGCTATTCTCCGACTCCGACATGCCCGCTCGCGGTGTGTAGTTCGTGTCCACGCTATTCTCCGACTCCGACATGCCCGCTCGCGGTGTGTTTTTTACGCGTGTCCGCGCTATTCTCCGACTCCGACATGCCCGCTCGCGGTGTGTAGCTCGTGTCCACGCTATTCTCCCACTCCGACATGCCCGCTCGCGGTGTGTTTTTTACGCGTGTCCGCGCTATTCTCCGACTCCGACATGCCCGCTCGCGGTGTGTTTTTTACGCGTGTCCGCGCTATTCTCCGACTCCGACATGCCCGCTCGCGGTGTGTTTTTTACGCGTGTCCGCGCTATTCTCCGACTCCGACATGCCCGCTCGCGGTGTGTGGCTCGTGTCCACGCTATTCTCCCACTCCGACATGCCCGCTCGCGGTGTGTTTTTTACGCGTGTCCGCGCTATTCTCCGACTCCGACATGCCCGCTCGCGGTGTGTAGTTCGTGTCCACGCTATTCTCCGACTCCGACATGCCCGCTCGCGGTGTGTGGCTCGTGTCCACGCTATTCTCCGACTCCGACATGCCCGCTCGCGGTGTGTTTTTTACGCGTGTCCGCGCTACTCTCCGACTCCGACATGCCCGCTCGCGGTGTGTTTTTTACGCGTGTCCGCGCTATTCTCCGACTCCGACATGCCCGCTCGCGGTGTGTAGCTCGTGTCCACGCTATTCTCCCACTCCGACATGCCCGCTCGCGGTGTGTTTTTTACGCGTGTCCGCGCTATTCTCCGACTCCGACATGCCCGCTCGCGGTGTGTAGCTCGTGTCCACGCTATTCTCCGACTCCGACATGCCCGCTCGCGGTGTGTAGCTCGTGTCCACGCTATTCTCCCACTCCGACATGTCCGCTCGTGGTGTGTTTTTTACGCGTGTCCGCGCTATTCTCCGACATGCCCGATCGCGGTGTTCTTTATCAATCAACCAAAGCCGGTCGCGGGGGCGCCGCCCTCGCCATCTTTCCATTCACTTCGCTTTTGCTATTTAACCAGAGCGAATGAGACGAGTGCGTCACGTGTGGTGTTTGTCAACCCGCCTGAGTATCGATACTTCGGGAAATTAGTATTGGTACCGTTCAGATATTTCAATATCGATATTTATCGAAATATCGATATTTTTGACAACACTACTGTAAAGAGTGTAAAGAGTGTAACGAGTGTAAAGAGTGTGTGTTGCTCTGGTACCTGTCTGTGATTCGGCCTGGACTCGCTCACAGGGCTTTTCTGTCTGGATCAGAACACACAGATCAGTCATTAACATCAGAAAGACAAACACACCACAGTATCACTGACACACTGAACGTGTTCTTACCTTGTTATGGTCATTTAAAGGCCTGTTAACAGACACACAGTGCCTGACTTTACTACAGGAGAAACACACACACACACACACACACACACAGATTAACCAAGCGAACATGTGATCAAACTACAGTCCACATGACCCTCGGCCAACAGGAAGCAGTTTTCACATTCTATTTTTGTTTTAAATTGAAGCTGAAATCCGTCTTTTGATTTATAGATCGCAAAAAATCAGTTTGTCAGAAATTCAGTGATTTTTACTTGTGAAATAATAATTATTAATAATCATAAAACACAATAACATGAATCCCTGTGCAGCTGTGATGGTCTGAGATACTGAATCATGAACATTCACAGGCCACTGCAGAAAACACTGGAAGTTCTTGCTCAACATTCAAAAGGCTAGTGTTTCAAACATTTTACAAATGTCTTTCTTTCCATTTCATCCTTCAGCAAACATTACAGGAACGTTTTGAAGTTGGTTAGTTTAGAAGGTTAGTTTTGAATGTTCTCTTAAGTTCTGAAACAAGTAGTAACATATAAAAGCGTTCCATAAAAGATGTATAAACAATGTTTTTGTGCAAACATTATTAAAGGGCAGATAACTGAAGGAAGGTTCTATGGATGTTTCAGTAAGAACGCTGTGAGTGTTTCCTGTTGCTGGGTTCTGCCTCAGTGCCACTGCAGACAGAGAGTGTGTTGTTGTCAGCTTCTCTGTGGCTTCTGGGAAATATCGTGACCGCTTCATGATCTTACCATATAGACCAGAGTAAAACATCGAGAAACGGCGCTCACCCTCCCTGTCCAACGACAGGTGTCATCTTCACATTCTGTTGCACACTGTCTCCGTTCTTCTTTTTGGCATAATAAACCCCCTGCCACTCCTGAAACACACACACACACCACAGAGAGTCAAAAGAGCATAAAGGATCAGGTCTCAGGTCTGATGGAGAATCAAAGTCCGACCCCAGTGTGATGAAAGTCCAGCGTCTGGGACTTCAAACGCTCCTCCAGCTGTGTGTGTGTGTGTGTGTCTGTGAGTGTGTGTGTGAGTGTG